CTCGTCAGCAGAAGGTACCACTAACCGTCCCTTGTACCTTAAACCTCCATCAGCCCCAACATAGTAAAATGGCACCTCACCAGAAGCTATCTCTGCAACTTTGTCCATGCACTGCTAATCCGTGAGTTGTGCCTTTAACACCTTATGAATAATAGAAGGTGTAACTACCATACAAGCCATGAAAGCATTCGACAACTCATCCACTGTCTTTAAAGGATTCCACTCAAAAATGAATAGAGCATAAAGGCTACCAACAAGTCGGCGACTGAGTGCATCCGCCACCACATTCGCTTTCCCTGGATGGTACTGTATAGAAAAGTGATAGTCTTTCACAAACTCCAACCACCTGCGTTGTCTCATATTCAGCTCCCGCTGAGTGAACAAATACTACAGACTCTTGTGATCGCTGAATAATCTAAAGGACTCACCCAACAGATAATGCCTCCAAATACGTAAGGCAAAGACCATAACTGCCAACTCCAAATCATGTGTTGGATAATTAAGCTCATGAGGCTTAAGCTTCCGAGATCCATACGAAATCGGTCACTCCTTCTGCATCAAAACACATCCAAGACCCTGCAAAGAAGCATCAGTATAGACAAGATACTCTATTCCGCTTTGTGGGGTAGACAAAACTGGTGCAGAAGTCAACTTAGTCTTCAGCTCATCAAAAGCTTTCTGACAATGTTCATCCTACACAAACCATACACCCTTCTTAGTCAGATGAGTGAGTGGTCCCGCTATCTTTGAGAACCCCTGGATGAACCTCCTGTAATACTCTGCCAATCTGAGGAAACTACGAATCTCGGTAGGTGAAGTAGGCTGTCCCCACTCAACCACTACTGAGACCTTGGCTAGATCCACTGTTATTCTCCTTTCTGACACCATGTGACCCAGAAATTTTACCTCCCGTTACCAAAATTCACAATTCTCGAACTTTGTAATACCCCTAATTTCAAAAGGATGGTACTGGTATTTAATTTATTCTTTTAATTGAATTTTAAATTATTTAATTGTTTATTTGACATACTTGTTACTTGTTTAAATTGGTGTTTAAGTTTCATGGCATGTTTAAATGTCTTATTACTTGAATTGCTCACATTATTTGTAATTAGTAAATTTATTATGACTTGTTTTATTTAATTATTGTATTTAATTCTTTATTTTTGTTTAAGTGGTTTAATTTAGTTGTTTTATTTGAATTAATTTAATTGAATATAATAGTTTAATTATTTTAATTTAATTGTTAATTGTCTTGATTTAATTATATTTAATTAGGGTTTTGTTTTTAAAAGTCACGTTTGTAGCCGACGTAGGTTTTTAATTAAGTATCTTTGGGCCGATTAGGATTCAGCTTGGGGCTTGGAATTAATTTAGGGTTTGGTACAACTCTATAAATATATAGGTTACCTCTGGTTAGGGTTTTAGGAAAAGAAAAATAAACCTATACACGTCTGTGGAGGCAGAGGATGAACAGAGGAATTTGTCAGTAGGAATTGCCGGGAACCTTCGAAGACGGCGTAGAGATTTTGAACAAAAGTCTCAAAGGCAAGTTCTGTCTTAACTCTCTCCCTTAGGCTTTGTGTTCTTTGCATACTTAAATAGTTTCAGGTTGAGTTACATGTTTAAAACAAAAAGAAAATATATGTTTTCATGTTTAGAAATTGGAAGCATATCAGTATGTGTTTATACTTGTTAAACTGAGTACACTTGAAACTTTCTTGTAAATTTCTTTGTTTAAATCCATGCTAGTAGTATACTAAGGACATAAACAAGGGTGGAAATCTACTAGAAGTAAGGTACAAATTCTGGAAACCAAAATACTAAAGTGCCGAAGGTGTAAACGATGCTTGAATACGAGAACAAAGAGAGGAGAAGGGAAAGAGCCGGCTCTCCCTTGGAGGGAGCTGGCTCTCCTTGTAAAGGAGGTGGCTCCAAGGCCTTAGGAGTCAGCTCCAAGGCCAATGGAGGCGGCTCCATGGTTTTTGGAGCCTGCTCTATTTTGGTTTTTCCCAATTTTTTCGTTCTATTGATTTTTCTTTTGGTTTTCAGTGAGACAGGTTCTTGGGTATGGAATTTCTAAGTTTTCTAATAGAAACTAAGTACTGTAATGGATGGTTTAACAGTGGTCTGGTGTGGGATTAAAGTTTGAAGGGTGTTGAGTCTGCTCCATGTTGTCTTCTTCAGAGTTTTTACATTCTGTTCTTATTTTTCAATAAGGAAGCCTCTTGGTTAGTGAATTTCTAGTATTGATTGAAAAGATTAATTACTGTAATGAGTGTTTAGAGACTGTCCAAAGGAAGATTAGAGTCTAAAGGAACAGAGTAATATAAATTTAGGCACCGAGTGTTAATCGTTAAAACTGTATGGTTTTTGTATGTGCCTTGCAGACCTATTTGGTTTTGGATACTGTATTTCTAACTTTTCTTAGAATTTCTGTGATAGTTGGTTCACTGTTAATTACATATATTTGAAAAAAAATATATATGTTTTAAATCTATATTTTTGCTAAGGATTAGTTGATGGTTGAATTGTAAAACCTAGTGCATCAATTTGTTGGACAGAAAATTATATATATGATACATTACTTTCATTTATTTTGCATGCCATGGAACAAATTGATACAATGTTTATTTGGGCTGGGTTAATTATATGGAAACTGGGAATAGAGTTATATTTACAGACACAGTTCTGTGTGATCAAGTTATGGTTTCTATATTGGTTTCCTTAAGCATGTTGTTTACTCTACTCTAACATGCTTAGTTTGGAATGGTTGATATTGTTATTTAATTGTCAATGCCTTATCAACTGTTGGACGGATGGAATTGTATGCACCGGTATGGGACGGTGTCATACTGGGTTTAAATTAGCTCAAGTAGCTAAGTCCTACTTATTTTGGAATAAGGGTACGGGTTATTAAATAAAGTCCTCCTTATATATATATATAAGTCGGTACGGTTGAATACGCCGAATGACTTACTGGATTTCGTGTGGATGGATAGGAACGGAATTTAAATATATTTTTATGATACCGTGACATGAGCTTGAGTCTCAGAGTCGACGGTTAGGGTGCGTATACGCAGTTGGATGTGTAGCTGGCTGTGAGGGTTGAGGTATACCCTGTTTAGGTTAGGTACTCATGCCCATTCAGGTGCGTTTTATGTGATGCCTTCTATTCAGGTTGAGACCTTCTTCATAGTCTAGCGAGAGTCCAGTAGTGTGGATATAGTTATGTATAGATTATTAGTTATTGTTGAACTATTTAGTATGTACATGCGTATCGAGTCTCTGCTTGGATTGTAGTAGGATAGAACTTGTTCGTGGGCCTGACCCACTCCTCTTTTTCAGGTGTACGTCAGTTCCAGGCTTGAGCTTGTTCGTGCTGAGCAGAGACGATCTTCCACTCTACCGACGATGTAGGACTTCTTTCTAGAAAATAGATTTGGATTTTATCTTCAGCTTTACTTTCATTCAGTTTGGGATTTTTATTAGGGGTCCATTGGAGATGGATTCCATAATTGTTTAACTTATGGAGTTTTGGATTATCGAAATTTAAGTATTTAAAATTATTAAGGATTATCTTTTAGTTTTCTTTCAGCTCTTAAATTTTATTTTTAAATTCATTTTTGTATTCCATGTTCGTTTTAAAGTTATTAATTGTTTGATATCCCTCGGTTTGGGCTTGGGCCTGATCAACCCGTGTCTCGGATCCGAGGGGTATCACAAACTTGGCATACAACTGGTGCTCACGAAGCATCCGCAAGACTATCCGAAGATGTCTAGCATGATCGTCCTCTGACCTCGAGTAAATCAAAATATCATCTATGAAGACAATGACAAATTGATCCAAATAGGCCCTGAAGATTCGGTTCATTAAATCCATAAAGACCGTTGGTGCATTAGTCAACCCGAACGGCATCACTCGAAACTCATAAGATCCATATCTAGTGAGAAACGCTGTCCTTGGAACATCCTGTTCCCTAACCCGAAGTTGATGATATCCAGTCCGCAGATCAATCTTAGAAAAATAGATAGCTCCCTTCAATTAATCAAAAAGATCATCAATCCTGGGTAAAGGGTACTTATTACGAATAGTAATCTTGTTCAACTTCCTGTAATCTATACACAGACGAAGCAAACCATCCTTCTTCTTCACAAATAAAACCGGTGCTCCCCAGGGTGAAGTACTCCTACGAATAAAACCCTGCTGAGTAATTGCTGATTTTGATCCCTCAGCTTTCGCATCTCCACTGGTGCCATCCTATATGGTGCCCTAGCAATAGGCGTAGTGCCTGGAGCTAAATCTATCATAAAATCGATCTCGCGACTAGGACGCAACCCTGGAATCTCCTAAAATACATCCAAGAAATCCTGTACAATTGTTCAACTCCCTATAATCTATACACAGACGAAATAAGAAATCCTGTACAATTGGTGTTCGTAGTTCTCTGTGTGTTTCTAGTCGGTTCTTTTCTGAGTGCATAGGAAGTTCATTTCACCTCAGGAACGAATGGGGGTCCATGGTTGAACAGTTGATGAGTAACGTGTAATAGGGTGTCGGGTGCATACAAGTGCAAGTTGGTCTCTTGTGAGAGTGGGGCTTGTTACTCTTCCGTTTGTTCTAGTCCTGGCAAGGACGTCATTTGTTATGAGTCTTGTCTCTGTCTAGGAGTTGTGTGCGTCCGTGGAAGGACGGGATTGCGAGTGATTGTTACTCTGTAGAGTTCGTCGATTGAGGTTTTGATTAAAGGGGTCGACTTACTTCCACGGAGAGAGGTATAGCCTTTAGTTTTGTAGTCCTTGTTTTGAGGATGGTTTTGACTAGTAGGATATGAGGTACAGATTGCCAAATGGGGATTGTGTTTTTAATATTTGTTATTTTCGGTGGCGGCAAGGAATTTGTCATAAATGAAAGGTCTAGGATGACCAAGTGATGTGATATGAGTCGTATCTCCGAACGTTTTTATTGATGTCTGAATTGAGCACTGTCTTGAGGACAGGTGTTGGTATTATTGAATGTTATGCAGTTAGAGAGTGATTATGGGATTCCATTGAGGGTAATAGGAATGATTAATTTAGTTTTGAGATCGCGAGTATGAGATAGTTGTATTGTATGATTTGACGAGGTAAGAACTTAATCGAATGATGTTATGGAACAGTTTACCTGGTATTGGTATTATGAGAAAATTAGAGAGCTTTGATGTTGGTCAATGATTGAGACAGCTAGTGTCGTGTTGTTTTTGTTTATTATGGTTAGGTGATTGGGATATGATTGGGGTTCTGAGGATAGGTTTATGGTTGTATGGTTGTTGAGGTTATGTAGAGCAACGGATTAATTAGAGAGTGGGTCTCGTGGCTGTTTTGTGGACTATGTAGTGTTGTGTTTGAGGTTTGAACCTGAGGACAGGAACGATGTCTGGTCGAGATCGGATTGATGATGAGAATGGCCTGGCCAACCACTTCTCCTGAATCAATCCTTCTTTGGCACTATGTCGGGTCAAAGGTCAATGATCGTTCTGACTTGTTAATTATAGTGAGAGTATGGTACTGTACGTTGTGTTTGTGTGATAATGTGGACTTATATGATTTATCTTGGGTGACAAAAGGTGTTAGATGGTATTGGGTGTTTGATAACAAGTTAGTGGTACAATCATTGATTATAGAGAATCTCGTTTTGAGGATTTGTGTTCAGAATGCAGAGTAGTACATTTTATTGTTTCGGCGACTCATGATTGAATAATTGTTAGAGGATTCATCGTTTAGTTGTCTTGAGGATTGATCCGTATGATAATTATCGATTGGTGTGATTGGTGATTGTTGTATGATTATGTAGTTATATAGCCGTATGTTGGATGACGAGTATTGATTGGACAATGACGTGTAGATTGGATTTGAGTCTAATTGTGTGTTGGATAAGGTTCCTCATTTGGGGTCTGGGTTACCCTTTAGAAGGATAAGTGTGATAGGATGTTGTCATGTTCCTGGGTCTTATGACCATTCTTCTTCGAGCTCCGAAGTATTAGGTAGCAGTGTAGAGGAGACTGGTGTTAATCTTAAGTCGAGTATAGGATTCAGTGGGTTTTGTGCTTGATGTTGTGAGCGATGAGTTCCCTCGTGGGGTGGTGATCATTGGGTTTTCTGGCGGCAGTGTGTGATTGCCTGTGGGCGCTGGTGTCAAAGGCAGTATGGTGGATTGAGTACTTGGTCTTCGGATTTTGTGAGGTGTTCTCGAAAAGACTCTAGTTGTGGGCCTCCTTCTTTTAAGAAAGGTAGATTTCGAGGACGAAATCTCTTTAAGGAGGGTAGATTGTAACGTTTCCAATTTTCTCCATTTTTCAATTTTTTCAGAATTTCATTGATGCAAGGGCATTTCGGTCTTTTCTTATGTTACTCGTAGGATTGTGGTTGGGTCCATTTGCAATTGGTGCATTTTAATTTATATGATTATGTAACACTTAATTAGTGGTGCATTTGTATTTATGTGGCGTGTATTAAAGCTAAAGAAAAAAGAAAAGTCAAAGGTGGAAGTGGCGGAACCCACCACCCATGTTTATAAGTGGTCTAGAGACCACATTTACTTGCCATTTTCTTTCTCCCCGTATCTCTCTCTCCTTCTCAATTTTCCATTTCTTTTTCTTTTCCTTTCAAGCCAATCTTTGAGGCTTGATTCCTTCTTCGTTACTTAGCGGATTTGGGTGCCGTTTGAGGCAAAACGAAGCCCACGAGGAGCTCTACACATCCATACCAGCAATTCCAGATTTGGTGCCCTCCTTGATTTTTGAATTCCTTGACCCACTTCAAAGGTTTTGCTCATTTTGAGGTAGGGGCTTCCTAATTCACATTATTCATGCACCTTTGTGAGTTATTCTACTTAAATTGTGTCATAGCGTGCTTGTTGGTGTTAATTGTAGTTTAAAATGTCTTGATTGTATATATATGAATATGTGAATACTTGTCTTGATTGTGCTATATGAGAAACATGCTTATATAATGAGTTATATGCCTATTGTATTGTTCACATGCTATGACTGGTGTATGAAAGCATGTCCTATTGTATTTAGTGATAATCCATTATTGTTTAAATATTAAAAGTATGAGATCATGCTTACTTGTGTTGTGTCAAATTCCTCATTTTCATAGAATTGAGATTATGAGACATACATGTACACCATTAGGTTGCATGAAAGGAAGAAATTGTTTTTGAAAATGAAAATGGGGAGTTTTGGGAAAGAATATTTTGATGAAAGTGTTTTGGAAAAACCCGGTCGCTGCGGAGTTACCAACGGGCTGGTAGGTTAATGTAACCTAGAGGGAAACTATGGAGATTGCCCTAGCGTGGTTGAGCTATCTAGGCCCCATAATGAAGCTGCGGAGTCACCAAAGGTCAGGGACAGTAGCCAATCCTTCTCTCGGCGCTACGGAGTCACTAAAGGGGGTTACATTAACAGTTTGAAAGCGATGATTCTGATTATGAAAAATGAGGAGCGACATCAGCATGCATTGCATCTCCATTGCATCTTATTATTTGTGTTGAGAAAGATAACCATGTTGTATTCTCCCCTGTGGTATGACCCCAACTCCTATTGGCCTATTCTTTGTTTTGGATTCACGGGGTCTCATGAGGTGCGTTTTAGGCGTCACCTACTGAGCAAATTGCTCCCCCACTATATTATTATATTTTTCAGGTTTCGGCAAAGAAATGGTGGATGAAAATCCACCACTGAATTGAAGGAACTTGGAGAATCTATTGAATGTATTTTTTGTAGAACTTGAATATATCAAGTAAAGTACATATTCTGAAATGTATCAAGTTTAGTTTGGCATGTAAATGATGAAACCTGAATCTAGAATTCATTTTAATGTATAATGACCATGATGTAAAGCCAATCTATTAAATTCATGGATTTGTTTCTCAAAAGATGTTTTAATGTGATTGTGGGTTGGTCCCCTCGTCTTTGATCGTAGAATAACTTTGGGTTGAGGATCCATTCCGAGTTTAAACCATTGATAAGTTTCATTTCCAGTTTCCCTTCCATTTTCATAATTCAACAAGTTGACTTCTGGATCCGGACTTGGCACAGCCATCGACCGAAATGAGGATACCGAGAGCAAGAAAATGCTTTGGTCGACCGAATCCCATTTTGGTCGACCGAAATGGTGCATCGGTCGACCGAAACCGGATTGATTGCTCTCAGGACCTCCACTTCGGTCGACCAAAATGGGATTCGGTCGACCAAAGCATTTTCTTGCCCTCGGTATCCTCATTTCGGTCGACCGAAGCTTCACTTCGGTCGACCGAAATGAACCTTTTTGGTTAAGTTTTCTCCTCCTCTTTGGTTGCTCTCGGGATCTCCTTTTCGGACGACCGAAGCTCCACTTCGGTCGACCGAAATGAAGCAGCTTGATTATGCTTCCTTCCTTCTCCAGCGTTTATTTGATTAAATGACGGATTGGGTGATGGGACATACTGAAGTTGTTATTCAAGCGTTGTAAAGGTGTGTTGACTATAGAAACGTCATGACGGACCTAGGTAACCTCGGGTTCGAGTAAGGACCTGGCTAACGGTTTGGGCCTTCGGGTTTGGGGCGTTACAAACAATCCCGCACAACTCGACTCAAAGACACTGAAACCCCACTGGCGTATCAACACATAATGCCCGATCCATGAAACTGACCTTTACCCCCCCGATGCAAGTGCAAATGATGATGATATGAAGGAATGAGATGCACCAGAGTCAAACAAAACATGGGCCCAAGAACCAAACACTGGAAATATACCTCGGAGAACTGACGATCCAGGAGATGCATCAGTCAGTGCAAGTGCAAAGACACGTCCCTGTGGTGTCTGTGCCTGAGAACTGCCAACCTAAACACCTGACTGCTCTACTGACATAGTAGGAGTATCCCTCCTAACTGGCCGTGAACCCTGAGAGGACATGGCAGGCTGTGATGGTGGTGGTCTGAAACTTGACTGAACCGTAGCCGACTGTGACGGCCTCTGCTATGACCCTCTGCCACTACCGGTGCCTACTCCCTAATTAGGACAATTCTTAACCTTATGGCCCTGTTGGCCACAACCAAAACAAGCCCCAGAATTAACTGATGTCTATGGACGCTCTGACTTGTAGTGACCCGGCTGATTACAACGATAACAAATGACACCACTCCTGGCAGACCCTGCTGGCATAGGAGTGGTAAGAGCGGATCATGCTAACTGCTGCCCCTGAAACTGAGATGAACCACCCATGTTCCTCTTCCTTGAAGGTCCTTCTGAAAATGACCCTGCATTCCTCTTTTGCTTCCACTATTCCCTTCTTGCATCTTTATCTTTGGCCTCTGCCTCTAGCATTAATGCCCTTTCCACTGCCTCAGAATAAACCTTGATGCCCTGTGCTATTAACAACGGCCTCATCTTGTAGTCAAATCCGGAGATAAACTTCTAAACCTTATCAACTTCATTACTCACCATCTCTGGAGCAAAGCGAAAGAGTGAGGTGAACCTATTCTCGTACTCGTCACCGACATATTGCCTTGGATAAAGCCAATAAACTGATTCTTTAACTCCCACCTATTGGAGGTAGGGAAATACTTCTCATAAAACAACTCCTTGAATCTATCCCAACTCATCTCTTCAATCTTATATTGATTTGTGACCAACTTCAACCAAAACTTGACATCCTTTGTGAACTTATAAGTGGCTAGGATGATTTTCAAGTGATCCTCCGTCACATCCATAGAAGTCAATTGAGTTTCAACTTGCTCCATGTAGTCATCCGCTACCATGGGATCTACATCGCCTTCAAACATCACTGGCATCAACTAAGAAAACCCTTTAATAATCTTAAAACGCTTCTGTGCTGGCGTCTCCTCTACTTGCACTACCGGTTGTGGTACCGGCTGCGGTATTGGTTGCGGCTGAGTAGCAATGGTGGCCCTCAAGGCCTTCTGCAACAAGCAATTCAATACTAGTTCCGCCGGATTTTCACCCTCTTTAACGGGTGCTTCCACATTATCCCTCCTTGTAGGAACAACTCTTGGGGCAATCAAATCCCGAAGAAGTGTGTCCTCATCAATTGGCTTCGCTGGATTGGAGCTAGAGCTCTCGCTAACATCACCTTTTGTTGGCCTAGGGCCAACTTCCCTTGGTTCCTCACGCCGTGACATCGTTCTATAAAACAAAGAAAACAATTCAATAACGATAACACTAAGGTCCAACTATGAACAACTTAACATAAAAGGATGTTATACTAACACTTAGCATGCAATACTATGCAACGAACACATTAATATAAGCATATAATCACATACGCACGTAAGCAAGTAAACAGTTAAGCATGTTTTTTCACATAGCAAAACACTTTTGCAAATAAGGAATTTACAATACAAATGACTTCCCAGACAACCCTAGGTAGGTCTCTACCCGTTGTCCTAATGGTTTTCGAACCTTTGCTCTAATACCAAATTTATAACGACCCTAAACTGAATACCGAAAATAATAAAAATTTAAAAAAAAAAAAAATTTGGCATCACCTCCGCTAAAAATGGTCCTACAACAACCTGTTCAAATGAAAAAATTAACGGCCTTTCAAGACCTATCCAATCTGCCCTAACACACAATACAAAAGAAATATAATGCATTCCCCAATACCACAACATCAACAACCTTCCCAAATTAGCCCATCAACGTCATTCCCTTCAACTTAAGCATTTACATGGTCTCAGTTTACAACAAAAATAATCAAGTATCTTAGTTATGTTACAGGGCCATGATTTGCAAAAATAAATACTCTTTTACATTGTTGAGACAATACAAAAAAAAAAAATGGGCTAAGATACAAAAGATAACAAAATACAACTCCTAATCTTCTTCAAGCTTGCGGGGAATTGTCATCCGCTACTTCTTTTCCGAGCCCTGAAAAATGTTAAATAATAGGGGTGAGCAAAATTGCTCAGTAAGTAGTACCTAAGACACACCTCTTGAGACCCCGTGAATCCACACAATGAATAGGAATAAGGAAATTGGGATTATACCATGCCGAGAGTAAAAGTATAACTACGATACCACATCATTAATCCAATACCACAAATAATT